CTCAACGCCGGCCAGTCGACTTTAAAATAAATTGGAAGTTGGAAAAGTAAAATAAGACAAGTTGCGTGAGGTTTTACTACTTACAACTACGCCCTTCGTTTCATGATGGAGGGCCCGTTATGGGAACAAACTTAGTTTTTAGGGGCCACATTACCCAGTTCAAGTGGCAGGAGGACCGCCCTCTTTTTTTTTTTCTCCTTCCCCTTCTTCTTCTTCTTCTTCTTCTTCCATCGCAAATCTCATTTGGATAATTTTTTTTAATCCTTTCCCCCACCTTTTTCTATTGGCTTATCGAAAACACCGACATCCTTTCAAGTGGTCGTGTTCCGAATTGGACAAGGAAAACCGTCTAACCTCCGTCGGTGGCACTCCGGCCAGCTGACGAGCAAGCTGCAGGGTTTCTGGGGATGATGCCTCCGAAACAAGAATTGATTTTTACGTATATTACCTATGCATCTAAGGTATAGCACTTAGAGCATCTCTAACCCAAAAACTCAAAATGGTACAGTTTTTATACCAAATCACTATTCCATCTCCAACCCACTACACCAAATTTTACAAAAAAAAAATACATTTTATTATTCTTATCTTTTAACGTTTTTATCTATTTAAAATATTTAACAAATTATATTATTATATAATTATATAATATATTACATATAATTAATGATAATAATATATTTTATGAATAAAATAAAAATTAAACGCTAAAAAAAATTAAAAATTATTACTTTTATAAATCCAACTAACTAGTGTTAATTTTTTATGTCCTAATTTATGTGTAATTTTTTTATGTCCTAATTTTTATGTTGTATTTTTTTTAATCTAAATGTAAGTTTTTCTTATCTCTTCATTTTAATGTTAATTTTAATAATTATTTTATACTCTAATTTTATTATAATAGTTAATATAAAATATCTTCATTTTAATGTTAATTTTAATAATTATTTTATACTCTAATTTTATTATAATAGTTAATATAAAATAATATATATTATTAATACTAATTTTATTATAATAGTTAATATAAAATAATATATATTATTAATACAAATATAAAAAACAAAAGCAAATAAATAAAAAAAACTCGAAAACTAAGATAGTGTTGCGTCATTCCTGATGCAACACTGTAGCAACACACTAAGACAGCACAACATATGACGCCCGGTTGGAGAAGCTCTTAGTGTATCTGTACCTCCATTGGTACTTAGTGGAGTTTGTGAACCTGACTGTAGAGGACTTGTGACCTGACTATATAAACTCCAAGGTCATTAATAATTATATTGATTGTCAGGCCTCGTTAAATTCTTAGGTTAACATTGTTTTCTAGATTACGATTATTGATTTAGGTGAACAATAAATTTCGCGTTGGAATTCCTAAGAAATGTTTGGTCCCTAAAAGTTACGATAGCGTGGCCCATTGCCTTTGGCAAGTGGAGCGTGGAGTTGGGCCGGCTCAGAGGGAGCTTTTAGCGGGCAGCGACTTGATATTGACGGGTTAAGTTGGGAGTGTCGGTGACGCCGAAGGTGGGGGGAGGGAGCATGGCTTTGTTTGGTGCGGTCCAATAGAGCAACAACATGGACAAATGAATAAAGAGGTCCATACACAAATTGATTGCTTTCATCTCCAATCATCTCATCTCCTCACCAACCTAGGAAGAGAGATATATGTGATAATAATGAGATATCTAGTGGTCCCAAAAAAAATAATTCCGTAACCAATATGCTAATTTTTAGATAAATAATCAACCATCTAATAGACACGACCCGCTAAAACTTAAATTCTATTTTAGGGAGGGGTGGGCGTGGGCTGGGCTGGTTCAGGCCCATGACCTAGCCCGCCTGGTTCAGGGCTGGGCCGGGCCTGACCTGGACCCGATCGGGTCGGAATGGGCTAGTCCTACTTCTCTGATCCTGGATCTGGGAATGGACCCAGCGTGGTCCACGACCCACCTAGGTGCGGTGCGGGTCTGACCCGGCCCCGGCCTATGATTTTTTGTTCAAATTTTCTTTCCAATGTTTACCTTTTTAATTATATAAAACTTGTATTTACAATTATAAAATAATTTCTAACTTAATTTTTTAGTAGTTTAAATTTGTATTAAACTATTTTTCAACTTGAATTAACCTTTTTAATGCTTCCAGGTAGATAGCAGTGAGCTTAAAGATCGCTGTTTTGTTTCTCAATGGTCCAAAAGGTCAACGACTCAAACACCTATGGTCTTTTTGATTTTGTTGGCAGCTAGCTGCAGACTCAAAGAGCTAAAGGAACAATTAGACTAACCAAAAAATATATCAACGGGCGGGGTAGGTCAGGTCGTGCCAGGCCTGGTCGGGTTAGCGTGGGCCGAGCCTACTTCTCTGACCCCATGTTTGGGGATAGACATGGCTTGGCCCATGACCCGAGTATATTATGGGCCGAGTTGGGCTCGGCCCACTACGGGCTAGGTGGTGACCCATGGCGGGTCGGCCTGTCCCACGCCCAACCCTAAATTTGGGGCGTGTTCGTTTAGTTTCAAAAAAAAAAAAACCATTTCTAGTAGTAAAAAAACCTATTTCTACTCTTTTCCATGTGTTTCTAGAAAGCATTTTTTATTTGTTTGTTTTGGCATGGAAATATAGGAAGGAAACATTTTCAATGCCATTCATTTGTTTGGTTCAAAAGCCAAAAACAAGAAATCAATTGAGATGAAAACATCTCTCTCATTATTCAACTATTATATTTTAGCAATTCACCATATCATTCATCGTTTAGATATTAAAAACACACGTTCCCAAAGCTTTTCCTCCCCATTTCATCACTCTCGGAGAGGAATTTGTTTCCTTCCAAAAGGTGTTGTTTTCCTTACCTTTAAGAAAACATTTCTTAAAAACTTTTGGCGAAACAAACAGAAGAAATAGAAATCCTTGGAATTTTTTTGTGTGCTCCTGACCGTGCCAGAGCCTTTCCAACTCTTTCCGAGGGTTCCCACCTCCCGGAACAAACACCCCCTTAGACGAACCCTGTACTCTCTCTCAAACTATCAGTTGCCCAATATTTTTGCAAAACAAATACTTAGAAAAAGTGTTTGTAGAAGAAAGAATGGGTGAAGTAAAATAGCACATGAAAATGAAGAGGATAGGATGACAATAATGAGTGTTGGTTAGTTAGGATATTGCATAGTTTGATATGACACAACATGAGCGAGAATGAAAGGCCCCTATCAATGGATGCTCATCTGTGGAAAAAAAAAGTTGCCTTACCGCTGCTCACTCACTTTACAGATTTTTGCTCATTTGTTGCGTGGACTATTCTTTGTTGCTTCATTGGCACCCACTGATTAATTGAAGACTTTTCATTTAGAAAAATTCCTCAAGCACCCAAAATATGGGACCAATAGAGGGGACAAGTGAGGTGTCCCCCTCCTATTGGATAATGAGTTGGCCATCATTAATGATGGCCAACTCATTATCCAATAGGAGGGGAACACCTCACTTGTCCACTCTATTGGTCCCATATTTTGGGTCCCTGTAGCAAAGCTCTTTCATTTATATAAATATGCTTATAAGGATTTATTAAAAGTGGCTATAGTTTTGCTTGGTAAACCTCACAAATCAGGGTCAACATTGAAACTGTTTTTGTGTTTTCTAGCCATTTCTTAGAAATGTGTTTTTTATTGTTTGGTCGGGGCAAGAACAACGTCAATTCCTAGAAGATCATAATTTCAATTGTCTGGTTCATTGTCTAAAAAAATAGCAAAACGTACACATATGAAATGCCATCTCAGTCAAAAAATAACTTAAAATATTTTATTTTAACTAGCTTCAACGCATTTCCTCTAAAAAAGCTAGGAAATGGATTATTCCGGAAAAGTAACGTGGGATGGTGTTTTGGAACCTTATTTTTAAGAAAAAGCCTTGAAACAAACATTAAAAGTGACCCACAAAATTGAAAAACTGACAAGTTTTTTTCCTATTAATTATTTTTATGGTATTTTCCATTTTTTTTGGCAGAACCAAATAGCCCCTAGGAGGAATTATATTTGGGAAAAACTGTGCATAACCAGTCTAGTTTTTCCTTGGGCTGAAAAAACTCTTATGGATCAAGGAAGAACCAGTTATCTCAAAAACTGTCATCAGGATCAATCATTGAGACGTTTATCTTTCATAAGTAAAGCATAGTTTAATGTTACATTTTATTACAGTGTCGTAAATTTAATGTTAATTTTGTTGTAAGAAAGAATTAAAAAAAAAAGAGATAACCGACTCTTTCTCTGCTACACAACAGACACTGCTCCCTTTCCCAACACATTTCGCAGCAAGTAAAGCTCTCTCAGTTTCAGACAGCTGCCAATTTTACAAAACAAAATAAACAAATAAACCCTGCCATAAACAAAATCAATGAAACAAACCTCCACAAATTTTCAAAACCTATATGTTTTGAATTTTATTCCAAAAAAAAGACTCATTTCAAACTTAATTTTAAAAACCAACTCAGTTGGCTAAAACTGGGTCGGTTTTTGAAAAAAAAAATTCCTTAACTTCAAGGGAGTTGAAGTCCCGTGAAGTTTTTTATATAACAAAACTTGATGGGACTTCAACTCCCGTGAAGTTTAGGAACTTTTTTTTTCAAAAACTGGGTCTAATAAAACTTCACGGGACTTCAACTCCACTGAAGTTTGGATTTTTTTTTTCCAAAAACTGATCCAGTTTCAGCCCAACTGGATCGGTTTTTAAAATTAAGTTTGAAACGGATCTTTTTTGAGAATTTTTTGACAAACATGTTGGTTTTAAAAATTTGTCCAACAAACCTCTTTCTCTCTCTCTCTTAAAAAAAAAGAAGAAGAAAATCACAAAATGAAAATTTTGAAAATCTTCACACATCTCTATTAATAACAGCAGTATCACTTAGCATCGAACCTCTCAATCGCTTCATCCCAAAAGTTAATTCTTTTTAAAGAAGAAAGGGCAAAAAAAAAAAAAAAAAAAAACCATATTAAAACCTCCTCCTCTATAAAAAAAACCCCCCCCTCTCTCTCTCTCTCTCTCTCTCTCTATATCTCAGACAAAAGAATCAGAAAAAATGGTGACTGAATCCCTTCTCTCCCATTTCTGCTGCTGCTCCCTGGGCTTTGTCTGAGCTGAGGGGAACTGCGTCTTCACTGTTCTATTTCCTTTCTCAGCCTTTTTTTTTCGGGAGGCCGGGGAACAGGATAAAGTTAAGGAAAGCCCGAGGCACAGATGAACAGCAGTGCGGCCGCGGCGGCGGTCGGGGTTGGTACCGGCCGCCTTCACGGCGTCGCAATGGCAGGAGCTCGAGCACCAAGCTCTGATTTTAGTACATGATGGCGGGGGTCCCGGTCCCTCACAGCTACTGATCCCCATCAAGAGGAGCTTTGAAGCCGCAATGGCCTCCCGATTCTATCTTCATCCTGCTCGTAATTAATCTCTTCTTCTTTCAATAAGTTTTTATCTCCTTCATGGTTTTTTTTTTTTTTTTTTTTGCCCCTGCTGGCTTTGTGTGCATTTGCTCAGTTCTGGATTTTTTTTTTTCGCCTTCAGGTTTTGTTGCTTGCGTTCTTTTACGTTTGATCTGGGCTATAGGTCTTTCTGGGAGATTTAATGATGTTTATTAGTGATTTTTTTTTGGGTAAAAATGTATTCTTTTCCTTCTTTTTTTAACTGTATATGCTGTTGTTTCAGCTTTATGTCCCCAAGATTGATTTTTTAATTGCTGTTGTAATAGTTTAACCGTTTATTACTTGATCAATAATTTTTTTTTGGGAAGAAAAAGGTACCTTCTGCCGTAGTAGTTCTTTTATTTTTTTATTACGAGTTTCTAGTTAAAAAACCCATTCCAAACCATCACTTTTGACAGAGAACAGGTCCAAACTTAATTAAAAAAAAAAATTAAAATCTTCAGTGACATCAATAAATCTAAAATGAAGAAAATGGTCCTCTAATCTTCGAAGACACCGACATATTTGAGGTTTCTACGAGACCGAAAATATACGATCGGCCTTTTTTTTTTTCCATTTATATGGAAAAAAAACTGATCTTTTTTGTTTTATGTTTACAGTGGGGTACTGTTCTTTATATGGAAAGAAGATTGATCCGGAGCCTGGACGTTGCCGGAGAACAGACGGCAAGAAATGGCGGTGCTCGAAGGACGCCCACCCGGACTCCAAGTACTGCGAGCGGCACATGCACAGAGGCCGCAACCGTTCAAGAAAGCCTGTGGAATCTCAGCCCTCCCACTCCTCCTCCTCCTCCTCCTCCGCTCTCACCGCACCTCGCCCCCCCGCCCCGGGCCACCGGAGCCCCGGGTGCTTCCGGAACCTCACCGACGTCGGTAACGTCGGCGTTGGGTCGTCTCATCAGCTTCAGTTGGATTCCGGCTCCTACGGGATGAGCAGTAGGGATTTCAGGTCCTCTTTTTTTTTTTTGCCTCGCATTCTCCGTCTTGTTTTTTTTTTTAAATTTTTTTTTCGTTCCGCTGTTAGTAAATGAATATTTGGTTAGGAGGCAGAACTTCAGTGAAGGTCCCTCGGATATCGGTGACATCCGCCGAAGTATTGTATATGGTTAAATATGTCTGGACTCATTGCTCGAACATGGGTTAATTCTCTCGGCCAACTCGGGTCCGAGTGAGATAGCTAGACCATGCAACACAACATTTCTTCGTATATAAGAGTTTAATGAAACAATTCATAAACGTACGGGCACATAGGACCCCAGACAAAAGTAGGAGGCACAACTATGTAACGCAATGTTGTCAAACAAAATGACAAAATAGCCTGATGACTGGGGCTAAGGAAACAACAGACAACATTTCCTGCTCCTGGCTCTCACCTGAGTGCTATTGAAATTTTCAGTACCTCTGTCATGCTCTTTGGAATTGATTTTAGTGCAATCTTAGGTGCCGCGAAATTAGTACGTTTTCGACGAAATTGATTAGGCTAAATGGGGGAAGAGATCAAAGTAGTAGTTTTTTTTTTCCTACTGTAAGATGTCAAGATACGGGGAAAGTATTGCAGGAGTTTAAGCTAGTTGTGGTCGTGTGATGTTTTGAGAGGAATTTCTGCATATTCTGAGCTCTGAATCCCATGTCAAAGGATTGGGGCACATTGCATAAGAAATTCCAAAAACTGGGCTTCCTCCTATAAAATATTAGAACATTGGCTTGATCCCTGCAGTCCTGCTGAGGTGCAGTTTGCTCCCTTTAGATTAGTTGCAGTTCTCTGAAGAGGCTTGCACGAAAATTGTGTTCTGGCCTAGCTGCAGGCAGTCTGACATAATAAAGAAGTACAAACTTTTTCTGGTCTTTATATCTGCTGGTGCTGGTTGCTGTCTTAACTTACCAAATGTTTTCCTTCAGGTCCTCTTCCAGGTCACCGCTCTTGCAGAGAGAACACTATGATATGTTTGATTATTACCTGACTTGGAAATTTCTGAATATTTGTTAAAGATAATGCTCTACACAAAAAAAAAATCTTTATTTTCCGTGTTATTGTTAGAATGGCGTATTAGTTCTCAAATCTCTAGCAAACAAAAGTGCGAGTTGATGTTCTAAATTCTAATATTTCTGTCATAAGAAAATAGGAGTCCCTTCGGTATAGAGCATTAATAAGCCTCGCCCTTCACATTATTGCTTACTGCCACTACTAGAGCTGCGATCTGCCTAATTTATTGTAACCAGTAAAACATTATGGTAATGCTTAACTTAATTCTATGAATCACACTTTAAGAGTTCTGGTTGCTGTATTCTTATACAGAATGATGTTAGATTTCATAGGATGAGATTTATAGCTTATGACTAGTAGCATCACTAGGAAAGTTATCAACGTGGTGAAAATACTAAATGGCCTAAAACAAAGTAACCATTAAATAATTAGATGATATCTAATGAACTCATGGGGTTTTCGTTATAATTAGATGATATCTAATGAACATATGCAGTTTTCGTTATTGCCTTCAGTCTCGTTTTTTTTCCGTTCCCATCTTTCCAACAGGTTAATAGATTGTTCCTTCTAGTTTTTGAATTGTTGTAAGTTACGCCATTCACTTTGGTTACATGCTAACCAGCTAATTTTTGTGCACACTTTCTACATGTCGCATCCTACTGAAATGTCTGTTTAGAAATTTTCATGTGCACTTAATTTGTACTTAATTTTCGTGTGCATTTAGTTTAGTAAATTACAGGTTGCCTGTCAGCAGAGCAAATACGTGTTTAGATCAAAAGCAAAATTTTGACTTTCCATTATTAAACTTCCGTAGAATCTCCCTAACCTAAAATCACAGGTACCCATATGGAGTTAAATCTAACACAGATGAGCACTGTTTCTTCTCCGAAAGTTCCAGAACTTCAACGGGCCTTGGCATAGACTCTTCCCTCAACAACTCATGGAATCTGATGCCATCTCAAATCTCCTCATATCCAATCTCAAAGGAAAACGCCGAGTCTCTTCTTCAGCGCAATTACCCTCAATACCACTCAGTCGAAGATATCAGTCACGTAACCTTAAGCTCACTCTCAAAACCTCAGCAACAACAGCAGCACTTATTCTTTGGAAGTGAGTTTTGTTCCTCAAATCCTGTGAAGCACGAATCCCAGTCTCTTCGACCATTCTTTGACGAATGGCCAAAAACTAGGGATTCTTGGTCTCATCTTGAGGACGATCGATCCGCTTTCTCGACAACCCAGCTCTCAATGTCCATTCCTATGGCCTCATCTGATTTCTCGACTACTAGCTCTCGATCTCCAAATGGTACGTCTCAGTCTCGAATGTCTCTTGGAACTTGTAATTTCAATGAGTAAAAATCAACTAATTTTTCTTTAATATATTTTTTTTCCAGATGATTGATGATACGGTTCGTGGTTTGATCAGGGTTGAATCATGTTGCTAGCTCATTCAGATTGAACTAGTTGATGCTGTTCCTGCATGTGGTTTTATGTTTTGAGTTATTTGTTTGACAGTTAAAAAACTTGGGTTGTTTCCGATTGAAATGTATGTTGTATGCAAGTTTCAATCTATCTGCACGCTGGAAAATAAAATTTCATGAGATTTCTTCGGTGCACATCCAGTAGTTATAACTGGTCGAATGTTTGAGAGCTATTTTACTGGATAGTTGTTGCACCAAAGAAACACGTAGATAATTGCCTTGTTTTCTGCTGCAAGCATTTGTTCCTCTCTTTATTCTCTGAAGTGCAATAGTATCATGTGAACCCAAAGTGGGCCCGGCAGTAAACCCCACGGAGCTTGAACAGGGGAAAGTGAGCTGTTCTCCAATGATATTTGGGGCCCATATTTGATCCATGACTGTATTTCTGTCATGCTCTGTGCGTCTTAATGATATCGAAATAGGGGTCTCAGGTTGTCCTCTTGGCAGACAGGTTGGGAGCTGTAGGAAAGTGAGACCAGGAATCAAATATATAAATGCTGTTACTTTTTCCAGGATTTTTTTTTTATGTTAGTGGCTGTTTGGTTCAATTTCTTTAAAAAAAAGGAAAAGGAAAAGTATTCAAAAATTGATTTTCATGTATTTCTATAAAAAATTATAGATAAAGTTTATAGAAATTTAAAAAGCGGTATTTTCTTATTTTTTTGGGAAAAATGTGTTAAGGCCCCCAAAAAATAAAGTGATTGTGACCAGTGCTCCCGTATTATTTTTTGTGTGACAAAACCCCCGATACATGAAATAGTTATGTTTCAGCCCCTATTTTCTTTTCCAGGATAATACAGTGAGATTTATTTACGAATACCCTAAAATGCCCTCAACTCATTCTCCCAAAACTTGCCCGTCCTCTCTCTCTTCTCACGCTCAAACCACCTTAAAGCTCCGTCTTCCCATACTTAGCAGATGCTAAAGAGGGGATTGATCTGAAATTGGAAGAAGAAATGGAAGCGGGAGGAGGAGATGTGTCGGGGGTATCGTATTTCTTGATCGCAGTCTGTTTTGCTCTTGGCTTCCCCGTCGCTAGGTTCCTCTTGGATCACCTCTTCTTCAAGCTCTCTTTCTTTATTATTATCATCATTACTTTAATCTTTCCTTTTTCTTTTTAAAAAGAAATCTTGGACCTCATATCGAACTCCTTTGTGAAATCCTGAGGGGAGATAGAGAGGGAGGGAGAGAGGCCTAACCTATTGTGACATACTATTGGGTTCGGGCCAACTTACAGTATCACAAATTGGGTCTGGGCCAACTTACAGTATCACAGATCTGTTCCCCCCTAATTTTATGTTGCCCATTTATTTATTACAATCATTCTCAAAACAATTCATGATCTGGACTTCTCATGTTTTATTATTATTGTGCACTTCCCTCTCAACCTTTCTAATGTAAATTGGAAAAGTATAATATTAGATGTGAATACTTCTTCCTTATGCTCCTCCTGCATTAATAAGAGTGGACAAAATCATCTTAACTTTAGAAAACATCTAAACGCAATTCTACATAATGGGTGTCTAGAATAAACTATAAACAAAGTTGGAAACATACGAATCAATATTAGATTAGGGCCTGTTCGTTTGCCTAAAGAAAAGAGGGAAATCAAAGAAATGGAAAACTATTAAAATGAAGAATTGTTTTTGGAGTGTTTGGTTGGCTAAAAAAGAAGGAAATCAAAGAAATGAAATTGAAATGATGTTAGTTGTCACCTTATTATTGGATGATGTTTGTGATTTTTTAAGAAAACTAGTTTTGGAGTGTTCGGTTAGCGAAAAAAATAAGGAAATGAATTATAAGAAACCTATTTCCTGTAGTTTCTTGTTTTCTTTTGTTCGGTTCATTCTTAAAAATAAGAAATGAAATGAGATGAGATGAGTTGTCATTGTATTATTGGGTGATGTGAAGAAAGAGTAAGAAAAGTGTTTTCATAACTTTTTGGGATGAAAATGAAGAAATGAAATGTTAATGAGATGAGGTTAATTGTTATAATATTTTATTGGATGATGTGAGTGATTTGAAATGATGAGAAGAGATGAGTTGAGTGATGTTTGGATGAAAATAATATTTTATTAGATGTGATTGATGAGTTGTTAGATGAAAATAATATTTTATTAGATGTGATGGATGAGTGGTTAGATGAAAATCATATTTTATTAGATGATGTGGATGAGTTGTTGGATGGAAATAATATTTTATTGGATGTTGTGGGTGAGTTTTAGGGATGAAAATGGAGGAAATTGTGAGTTTTGAGATTTTCACCATTTCCATTTCCATTTCTTGGTTTTTAGAAAACAAACGAACAGGCCCTTAATCGCATCATCATTTGGGAATTTATTTGTCAAAGTCATTTATTAGAAACTAACATATCAAAGGCGATTATTATGAATTAATAATCTCTCCTCATTCAGCTTTCGCGTGAGTTTCACGCGCTCTCTGCATTATTACGCCTTTACCCAAAACTACGCATCCTGCATCAAATTCTGACATTGCCTCTTCGATGAACTGGCATTTCCTCAAACAACTTCCACGCAAAAAAAAAAAAAAAAAAGGAACCCTTCAAAAAATAAAAATAAAAAAAATCAGAGATCCGACTGCAGAGGGATCCCAACACTGAGACTGAAGACGAAGAAGAAGGAGATGGGCTGGGGATGGAAGCTTTACGAGGGGAGCGTGGTGGTGGGCTCCCTTTCGTTGTTGGGCTGGGCCGGGCTCTGGTTCTTGAACCGGCGATTGTACAAGGAGTACGAGGAGAAGCGGGCCTCGGTTCAGATCCTCTTCAGCGCCGTGTTTGCTTTCTCTTGCAACCTCTTCCAGCTTGTGCTCTTCGAGATCCTTCCCGTTCTCTCCAAACAGTAACCCGATTCTCTCTATTTCGTACATTTTGATTCGAATTTGTGCTAATTGTTTTCCGAATTGAGTTTTTCTAGGGTTTTGAGTTCAGAATTGAGTAAATTGCTAGCAGATTTTGAATTTTGGCGCAGTGGTGAAAAACTGGAGTATTTCGTATGTAAATCACCTAAAAATGGTTTTTTTTCTGGGTTGGCATTCAATATTTCTAGGGGTTGGATTGCAGATCGTCGAATTCTAGAGTTTGGTGGATTCTAGGGTGGGGGATATTGTGTAATGTTGCTTAATTAGAGACCCTTTGATTGCGAGACTGAGGAAGGAGGAGGAGTTGAGTCAGGGATTGAATATTTGCGAAGGGAGCATTGTGGCCGGATGCCTGGCGTGCGGGCTTTGGTTTTTGAAGATCCTCTGCAGCTCTGTGTTTGTGTTCTCTTGTAACCTATTTCAGATCATCCTCTTCGAAGTCCTCCCCTTCCTCTCCAAACAGTAACCCTATTTCCTTAAATCCCCTCTCTCGTGGGTCTCTTTAGATGAGACTTTGTACTAATTTTTTTGCAAATTGTACCGGAAATTAGTTTCTTAGGGTGTTTGTTTAACATATTGTGATTCTTTATAGGGTTTGCAGTCTAAAGTTGAGTCGGTTATGTTATTTGAAGGGTGTTACTAAATTTATAAACAGATTATAAATTTGGGGGCACCTCGTAGGAGACATTCCTGACATTCGTTTTGTTTTTCTCTCTGGGCAGAAATTAGATTCTTCTAGCATCTAAGTTGCAGATTGTCACACTGTAGAGTTTGTTTGATTCTAGGGTGTGGGAGATTATGCACGATCGAGTTATAGGTTATTTGCTCATGGTTTGAGTGATCTGTGTGGATGTGCATTACTGGTCATTTTGTAGTCAATTAGTAGGAGAAGTTTGGTTGTTTCTTAAATTTGGCTCTAATTTTCTAGGAATTCATTCAGGCCCAAAATTTATAGAGTTTGCTTTTGGTTTTATTTTAAAACTCTCTATTCCCGTTTATTTGGTTCTAGAATTAGGGTCTATTGTGATCAAAAGTAATGTAGCATGTCCGTTATGCAGTTATAATTATTGAGCAATTTTTTTTTCTAAAATCAACCAAGGCTTGTTTTATGATGACTGTGTATGCAGTGAATTATTTTAGGTTTAATTGCACTGAATACTTACTTTAGTAAATGCCGATGTCATCATGCAGTGCAAGGTGGGTCAATTGGAAGGTGGATTTGTTCTGCTTGATAATGTTGCTGGTGTTCATCTTGCCTTACTATCATTGCTACTTGTTGCTCCGTGATAGTGGTATGTCATATCTTCTTTCATTGCTTTTATTGCTCATTATTACGTGCTTTGAGGCAATAAATCCTTGCAATAGTATAGTGCAAGAATATATAAACTAGCTGCTAGCTACTTGTGTGTGTGAGAGAGAGAAAGACATCTGATATAACTCTTAGTTTCTTACCTTATGAATAATGACTGAAGCAACAATCTGACAGCTACATGAAGCTTTAAAATGAGAACATTGAAGATACAACTTAATGAAACTTCTAGATATGCGATTGACAAATAAATCCAACTCTATGGACAAAATTAGTTACATTTGACTGGAAGTAACTGAGATTCTGGTTGTTTGGATTATATCATGCCACCAAATGGATGCAATCCTATGCTACACGGGCAGTGGGGGATCCGGAAAGTTTTCCTTTTTTTTGGGGGGTGGGGGGACAAGTATCTATTTTATCTAAAAATTAGAAATAATATTATAAAACGATAGTATTAGATGGAAATGATCTCCATAATCGATACACTTTAATTAGTTTCATTGTATCATATTTGCCTATGATGTGATAGATAAACAAAAGTGAGCATTCTTACTAATAATTTCCTTCATTAATGAAATATAAAAATATATAGTTGCTAATAAAAATTCTCTACAAAATCCAACATTGTGAGTAGATTCTAAAACATTTGGGTATATAACATAAAGAAATACATATTAGAAGCATATTCATAGAACAAAAACCTAGTATGCACTAAGTAATTAATAGAAGATTGTCCTCAAAATGTAATAACATAATATATATGTATATCAAAAGGCATAGAAATCTAGACAATTAGTTTTACAATAATAAAAAAGGCATTTCAATGTGTACTTTTACAATTACTCTCGACAATTTTTCATATTTTCAAAGTAATGCATGATTTTTTCATTGGCAATGCTATCAAACACATCTCTTTCTATCTATGTAACCAAAGTGGGTCCACGCGGAGGTCCGAGTGTTGGTAGCGGTGGCCGGAGGGTCTGATTGGGGCCGGTGCTAATGGGCGTTTGGGCAGAGCAGTGGAGTTAGGGCTTGGATGAAATTTGGGGATTCTGATCTCTGAAGCGTGAAAGAAATAGGAGAGAGGAAGAGAGTTTTAATGCGTTTTGTGTTTTTTTTTGGTTTTGAACTTTTGGGTCTATAATCTACTCGTTTTGGGCTTTAAACATCTGAGTCTATATGTTGATTGGAGAAAATATAAATGGATGTTGTCTTTCAATGGGCCAATTCAAATAGTAAATATAACAATGTGTTTAAATGGGCTGGCTATATGCAAATTATAGAAATTCTAGAGGTGCAACTGCAACCTAGGGGGGGGGGGGGTGCCTGTACACAGGTACGAGTGCGGGTGCAGATATGAGACACGGTAAATCTGTAAAGGTGGGATACATGGACTCGACTATATATATACAATTATACATATTTTTTGTTAGTTTATACAATTATACATATCGAAACTAGTAATTGACATTAGATCTATTTTGTTTTTTATTTGCATGTCATGAAGGAATTTCTATTATTTCTATGTTTCATTTATCCATTAGATTATAAATTGGGAAGACATTCTCTTTTTGACTAGATATCTAAACGACCCTTTAATGACCCGACCTATATTAAGTGAGTTGCAGGAAGTGGACGTGAAGTATCAGATATAAGATATACTCTAAGAAGAGTATGATGAGTGTTTTAAACTAAAAATGTATCATATAATCGAATTCAATTCTGAATAAATGTATGCATATACAAGAGTGCCCAAGGAATGGCAAACAAGTGTCGAAGTAGGCAACACGTTGGACATAGATGCCGGAGCCCAGACGAATGTGTTGGGTAACATAAATGCAATCCAACAATTCATCATAGCTGAAGTACCACCTTCCTTTTCTTATAGCCTCTAAATCCAAAGAAACATCCTGATTAACTCCAAAAGTGTTTTGCCTCCTATATCAATTAGGCATAACTACATAATAGGAAAATTTAGATAACTAAAAGTAATGTTTTAAAAAGCCTCCGCCTAGCCGCCTAAGCGTAAACCTAACCCTAGACGGTACCTAGGCCGCCCACCTAGTGCCTAGGTGATACGTGCTCACTTAGGTTTTGGGATTGCCTAGGGGAGCGTGTGCTCCTTACGCAGACTGCACCATTTAGGTCTTGATCGTGATTTTCGCCGTTATAGCCTCTACATTCTCTTACCTCCTTTAGCCTCTAACTATGAACAACTCCTCCAACCTTTAGCAAAACCTCATCCGCCACCACTTAAACAAAGAAAGAACTTCACCTAGGCGCTAGTTTGACGCCAAAGCTTTCTTTAACATTGATATTTACTATCAGTTATTGTAATTAAAAAGTAAAAAAAAGGAAAATCACCTAGGCCCTACCTAGGCTCTAGGCGTCAGGTCCATTGCCTAGGTGGCCTAGCTCTTTTTGTAACCTTAACTAAAAGATTTAATATATTTCTTACTAATTACATGCTAACTGAATTAATATTTAAAACTAGTCAAACTAATTAAGACTCCAAATCAGCCCACTTGCATATTGAGCTCAAGAAGTCATCTTGTGAGTTGTGTCAGGTGAAGTGGTTTCAGTCAGGTTTTGATTATGTCTTGATCCATATATTCATTTCTTTTTTACAATTTGATAGCTTTTATGTTCTTTCTTCTTTCATTGTGCATGTGTGTTGGGAGGCCAATCTTTTTTAGCTCATAGTTTGCTACTTTGCTGATATGGATTCCTCTTAAATCTTTTAATGGAAGATACTAGCTCAAATATTTGTATAGACTGGTTTGTCCGAGGTTAGGTCTTCAGTCCACTTTAGTTGTCAGTACTTTTCTATGACAGAAATGGGCAAAATCTTTGAGAAAACAAGGATAGATTATCGGGCACCTTCATTGGGGAGGGTAGTAGGAATTGTCACCAGAATCATTGATTTGCAGTCTTAAACAATTAATATATCCTTTCAAATCAAAGAAATGCAGAGTAGACAATGCACTGGGATTCTTATCTCCACAATACTCGCTTCAGTTTTGATAAGCATGTTTTTCCTCCCTTTAACAATTGATATATCCTTTCAAACCAAAGAAATACAGAGTAGACAATGCACTGGGATTCTTGTCTTCACAATACCTGCTTCAGTTTGATAAGCATGTTTTTGCTCTCTTAAGCCTACTTACTTTGCATTGCTGTAGATCATTCAAAAGTTGTTGGATCTTATATTTTTCATGCTTGTCAAACAGAAAGAGTGATTGCTCAGTTTGAGATTAATTTTACTGAACCATTTATACAGTCTTGTCCTTTTACATGTTTTTTCCTAGAGGGACTTTGTTTTCTTCATGCTGCAAGAGATGACGATTCTGTGAATGCAGGTGTGAGAAGAGAACGAGCTGCACTTGGATCAATCTTATTTTTGCTAGCATTTCTGTATGCTTTTTGGCGACTCGGTGTCCACTTTCCTATGCCTTCTCCAGACAAAGGTTATTTTCTTTTCATCTCTTGATTGATGCTTGACATGGATGTCATGCTAGGTCGAAATAAACTGACTGAAGAAAAAATGTATACTGGACCAGGTTATTGATACTTAATAACTGAACTTGTATTGAACCACAAGAAGTTCATGATCATACCAGCTCATAGTCTATTTGCGGGGTGCATGGTCGGTCTTGAATATTATACATTTTAGTTTGAGCTTGTTAATTTAGGTTGAGAGTCTGAGACCTAGTCTGTTGGGAGGCTTGTGGCTTATAGTTTTTCCTACGTTTTGTGATCTTGGCATTACCATGTAGATTAATTGCTATTTGCATTGCTTACGGTTGGTCTATGCTCTTCTTGTGGTTTGAAACCTAGTCTATGTTCCCTGCTGGTTGTTGGTCCTGAAAATTTCACATTATAAGTTGAGCTTTTTTGCTTTGGGCTTGTGGTCATTAGCTTTCCGTAGGTTTTTTTAAATCTTTGGGCCTTGGCTTTATCATTTGGGTTATTGCCTTCTTCTCTTCTGTTGACCTTTTTTGACTGCCATAAACATTACAAGGAGAGCCATTTTCCTTGTTTGATCCTAAAACAGGTCACGTGCAATTAGCATAGTGCCCTATCTGATAAATTGGATTATAGATTTTTTCTATACCTCTCATCGCTTTTGTTTAGTAAGTGTTCTTATCTCTCGGGCGATGATTTTCAGCATTCCTCGTGTAACTGCATACATTCACATGTGCATGCGTGAGTGCTGGAAGATTAAAGTAACATTTTCTTGTTTGCATTATTATTTCTGCTTATTGATAATGGTATTATTAAATTCCTTTTTGCCTTCCGTTTACACATGTATGACAAAGTGGTTGAACAGCGATTTTCGAACTGCACAATACACATTGTTAGAGGGTCATGGAAGTATCTTAGAGTAGTAGTTTATACCCTTGTCATGTTTGCTTACGGTGACATTTTACATCATTCTTTCCTTTGGGAACTAGTTGGTTTGTTTTAATCACCCTTACTTAACCTGTAAATTTTGCAATATGTAACTACCTGTGAAATTTAGATCTTTGAATTTTCTCATTGTTCTTCATTATCTTTGAATGTTTTATAACCTTCATACCAGCATTGTGAAATTTTGTATAATTAATACTAACTCTGGACTCTGGTGTATTTTACATTTTAGGGTTCTTTACTATCACTCAATTAGTTAGCAGAATTGGTGTGATCGGCGTGACTGTTATGGCCGTGCTCTCTGGCTTTGGAGCTGTTAATCTTCCTTACGGCTATTTGTCTCTCTTCATCAGGTTATTATCAATCTATCTTACAGATGCTTGTCTTCATCAGCTTATTAATCTATCTTACGGCTATTTGTCTTCATCAGGTCAGTTATGTTTATGTACGCCTGGTAGTTTCTGTACTTTTTGAGACAAAGTTATCATTTAGGCCTATATTCTTTCGAGTATAAAATATCTTCTTAAATGGTCAAGTTGAAGATGACATGGTTCATCCTGACAGAAGAGTATGCTATTTCTGATATCTAATATTTTATGGGTACTTTGAAATTCTAGAATTGTGTGGACTATAACTATGATTTTTACTGCTTTCGACCAAATTGCAAATTTGATCGGCTTACAGAGAACAGGAGAAAGAGAATATTTTTGAGGGGGGCTCCGGTAATGGGTAAGAGGTTTGATTTCTGTCTTTATTGTATTTCTGAAGGAAATTGACCCTCCTTTTATAGGGGCTAAACCCACTATCTCCACCCCCCTCAGATCCGCCCCTTGAGAGGTATTCTCTCAACAAACCCACGTTTCCACGTTTCTCTCAATAGAGAAACAAACGTTGATTTGGTCATCTATGACCATTGTTTTAAATATCCCCGACATGGCCCGATATATTCCCCGATATATCCTTTTACAAGACTTGCCGCAACCGATATGGTCTTTAAATATCCTTTACCGCTTTTTGGCTATTTTGAATGATAAATCCCCGATATGGCCGATATATTAACCGATATGTGGACCAATATATCTTTTTATATAGCTTGTTACAAAATAATATACCGTGTTTGGAATTTTTGGATGAGATATCAAGATTTTCCCATTATATCAAATGACATTTTGGCCTAAAAAAAGCAGATCGAATGTTGCGACGTTGCTTTGCACTTTTGTTTGTTTTAGAAGGTTGATTAGTGATCCTAAACATATATTATTCATATTTTGTATGCTTAAATTTTATTACATATGTTGAGATTACATTTTAATGCATTATACTATGTATGCAAACATTCATTATGACATTTCGATATTTACCACATATCCCCGATATTTCCCCGATATCTGCAATCCTATATGAATTTTGGTCATCCGATATTTTCCCGATATCCGAAATTAAAACCTTGTCTATGACCGAGTCAAGCTAACATCTCCCACTTGACCAAATCAACCAAGTGACTGCCTCCCACTATCCGTGAGATCAGATGTTTTTTCTTATAATTACTCCTACCATCCGTAGAGAATAACTCTTATTTTATTATTCATGAAATTTTACTTGGACTTATTTATTCCCAAGTCCCATCAAACTTACATGTTTGATAAAAAATTTCGTTGGTATTTCTTTTGTCAAAGGATCAACAATCATATCTGTAGTAGGGATATAAGTCACTTTAACTTCTCAATTTTCTACAATATCTCGAATATAGTGATACTGGATCTCAATATATTTTTCTTTAGAGCTATTCACGTCACTATTGATTAAGCTAATTGCTGCTTGATTATCACAATAAATATCAATAGATCCTTCTAACAAATTAAGATCAAGATCAATCAAAAACCGTCTTATCTAAACAGCATGTGTAGTTACCATACTGTAAGCTATATATCAAACTTCTTACGTATATCTAGCAACACACCCTTGTTTCTTGTTACTCCAAGAAACAACTCCTCCAACGATGAATAAGTGTCCCGAAGTGGATTTTTCATTATCTTTATCACCTCCGAAATCAGCATCGGAATAACCGAGGAGTTCAAGCGAATCAGCTTGATAATCAGCATCGGAATAACCGAGGAGTTCAAGCGAATCAGCTTGATAAACTAATCTATGAGTCAATGTACATCTGATATACTTCATAATCCTTTTAACAAGCGAATCAGCTTGATAAACTAATCTATGAGTCAATGTACATCTGATATACTTCATAATCCTTTTAATATCTTTCCAATGTGTTGATCCTGGATTACTTTGATATCGACTGACTAGACTCATAGCATAAGCTATATCAGGTCTGGTGCACAACATTGCATACATCAAGCTTCCAATTGTTTGAGCATAAGGAACATCTAATGGTTTCAGCCCCTCTCCAGGGCTTTGCTCTTTACATAATCTCTTTCCCATGATCAACAGAGTTGGCGCCGGATTGGAATTCTTCATTCCAAACCTTTTAAAAATTGATCTTAAGTATTTTTCTTGGTTTAAACTTAGCATTCTAGACTTTCTATCTCGAATTATTTGAAATCCAAGAATATATGATGCATCTCCCACGTCTTTCATCTCAAGTTTTTCGCTGAGATTTGCCTTGGTTTTATTCAACATTTCTATATCATTTCCAGCGAGCAATATATCATCCACATTTAAGAATAATATAGTAAACTTGCTCTTATTTTTTAAGACATATACACAATTATCTAATTTATTTTGAATAAAACCAAGTTTAGTGACTGCATCATGAAATTTAATAATTTATTTTGAATAAAACCAAGTTTAGTGACTGCATCATGAAATTTAAGATACCATTGTCTAGAAGATTGTTTTAAACCATATAGATCCAAGTTTAGTGACTGCATCATGAAATTTAAGATACCATTGTCTAGAAGATTGTTTTAAACCATATAGATATTTTATTAATTTGTAAACTTTATATTTTTGTCCTTTCACTTGTAAACCTTCAGGTTGTTGCATATATATTGCTTCCTTCAATTCTCCGTTAAGGAATACAGTTTTAACATTTATTTGGAATAACTCCAAATCAAGATATGCAATAATAACCAAAATAATTCTAATGAATGCAAATTTAGCTACATGAGAATACGTCTTTTGAAAATCTATTCCTGCCTTTTGGTTGTAATCCTTGGCAACTAACCGTGCTTTGAATTTATTAATAGATCAACACGATATTTCTTTTTGAGCACCCATTTGTATCATATGACTTTTCTATTTTCTAGTAGATCACATAACTCTCATACCTTATTCTTTTCTATAGAATCAAGTTTTTCTCTCATAGATTCTAGCCATAAAGCTGATTCATGCGATTTTATCGCATCAGAAAAGATTAAGGGAATTTGTTCTTCTATATTTGTATCTACCGAAAAACATGATGGCTCACATGAATACAAATAGTAATCATCCATCCATGAAGGTTGTGTTCTTAGCCTTTTGTTGCTTACAACCGGTTGATTAGGTACATTATTTTCCATAGGTATTTCATCATTTTTAAGGTTAGGTTCATTCACAATATCAGGGTCATTAATGAGAACAACATTATAATAATCATCATCTATCACAGTTAGAGGTTCTGTTTCCTTTCGAACTTGTTCCTCTTCTTCTAGATTCTCTAGAAATGTAGCATCTCTGCTTTCAATGACTTTTTTTTTTAATTGTGGAACTTATAATCTTTTGACTTTTCTGAATACCCTATGAATCTACACTTTATTGTTTTAAAATCCAACTTATCTCTAAGTTAACATGGAATGAAAACATTGGCTATAGATCCCCACTTCCTGAGATGACTCAAGTTAGGTTTCCTCCCATTCCATAATTCATAAGGTGTAGATACACCTGATTTGATGAGAATTTTATTTAAAATATAGTTTGCAGTTAACAATGCTTCTCCCCAAAAGTTTTTAGAGACCAGAATGAGACAACATGTATCTAACTACATTTAACAATGTTCTGTTCTTTCTTTCAGCAACACCATTCTGTTGTGGCATATACGGTATTGTTGTATGTCTTTAATTCCATGCTAAATACAATAACTTTCAAATTCTTTAGAATTATATTCTCCACCTCTATCGGTTCTCAAAATTTTGATTTTCAATCCAAGTTGATTTTCAACTTCTGTCTTATATCTCTTAAAGCAGTCAAAAGTTTCTAATTTTCTGGATATAAGATAGACGTGTGCAAACTTGGAATAATCATCTATAAAAGTAATAAAATATTCTTTATTACTATGAGTTTTGATACTTAGGGGACCACAAATATCCGAGTGTATCAACTAATAAAATATTCTTTATTACTATGAGTTTTGATACTTAGGGGACCACAAATATCCGAGTGTATCAACCTTAAAAGTTCATTGGCTTTTTTTCCGCTAATAAAATATTTTCTAGTCATTTTACCAGTTAAACAATATTCGCATGGTGGCAATTAAACATTAGATATTGCAGGAAGCAAGTTCATTCTGATAATTTCTTTTATTTTTAAAATACTAGCATGTCCTAGTCTAGAATGTCATAATTCAGACTCAGAAAAATAACAGGGTAAGTAGTTCAAATTCAAAATTTCATTATCAGAATTATTACAAACTACTGGAAGAATGCATAATTCATGTTCGGACACATATTTTTCCATAGCATATACTTTATTATTCTTACCTATAGAAACTCTGTTATTATAGAACCTAACTTCTAGTCCTTTCTTCATCAAGCTGGGAACAGAGATCAGATTGCGTCGAATTTCTGACGCATAGAATACATCTTTGAGGACATGAATATTGTCCCCAAGATCCAATCTATACGAAGCAATACCTTCTACATCGAGATAGATATTATTTCCCATATAGATTCTTTGTTCACCTTTCTTCAGCTCGGTGAATTCTATGACTCTATTCTTATCCTTTGCGATATGCCTAATCGCACCGGAGTCGATCCACCAACCACCGATATCTTGTTTTGGGTGCTTATAGCCTCCCTTATTCTCCTGCTTTTCACCTTACGGGCAGTTGGGCTTAAAATGCTCGAATTTTTCATAATTGTAGCAGGTTCCGTGGGGTACTTTCTTTCTCTTGAACTGCTGTGACTTCGGTCCTCGCGGTTGTGGTTTACTAGCACCAGGGTTTTTATAGCTTCTAGCATTATGTCTCCGACGGACATAATTCAGCTCTTGTTACACCATATTCAGTTCTGATTCTTTCCTACTGGTTATTAAGTCCTGTTCTATCGCTAGGTGCATAGGAAGATTAGTGACAGACTTAATGACATGATTCATTCTTAATGTGGTGACAACCACAACAAGTGAAGGGGAAGACTAT